TTGTAAAAGAAGTAACACATGTAAACTAAATAAAGCACGTTAGGCAAGGCCTAGCTAGTTGAAAAAAAAAAAAAAAAAAAAAAAAAATTTCCTAAGATTACTTATCACATCACACCTTTTCACTCACGCAGCTCATGCTTTGACAAGGACCTCCGCCGGGTGTGTTCCTTAGTGAATTGCTCTGGTTTTAACTGCTGGTTAGCTTTAGCTACCAAATCCAGAAGCTCTTATGGCCAAGTAAGGTACAACTCCTTAACGGATCATCTCTTCCAGATGATTTTTATTCTCCATCACCCTTTATCAAGACTACATCAATTTCCTAATAGATACTTTATGCAGATCTGGTTGCCTTAAGCTGTCAAATCTAAGGCATAAATGCTAAGCAGGACGCAACTCCTTACAGAGTTGACGATCAGCATGCCTTATAAGAGTGGTAACGATACAGTGATTTTCTTCAAAGCTTCCTTATTCGACAGTTGACAGTAAAGGGATTGGCGACTTGGGATTGGTTAAGATGGAGTATAGCCCAGTCTGTATATTCAAATATATGAGTGGTTCTATGGCACCTTTTGTAGACGATCATTATAACACCATCCGGATAATCATTACACCACTATGCCTTTAACAGGAAAATTACAATCTCAATGCCTGCCAAATCGGCATGTGTAACAGCTTCTCATGAGAAACAGCATATAATTGATTATGGTGTCAGATACCATATTAAGTCTATTCAACCACCTTTACCTGAAATTGAACCGGTATCTTGTGATCTAACCTGTGGAACACTAACCACTATACTATGGACCCACAGGTCTAAAACTTATACTGTATTATATTATTAATTAAATTTTTTAATATAGCAATTTGTATATATAGTCAAATCTGAATATAATAAAGTCTTTGATTTAATTAGTAAAAATTGAAAAAAATTGTTTAAAAATTCATTATAAAGATTTTTAAAAATTTATATAATAAAATTCCCTTTTTATAATGAATTTTGAATAAATTCAAAATTCAAAAATTTGTTATAGCCAGCATTTTATTATAACTTCATTATAAACAGGTTTGTTATATCCAGGTTTGAATGTATATTATATACTGTATATATATATATATTTTCAACTAGTTAGGCCTTGCCTAATATGCTTTATTTAGTTTACATGTGTTACTTCTTTTACAAGAATTACTATTCTAGATGCATATTAGGCTATATCGAATTCCTTGGCTTGATTCTAGAAAATCGTCATCATGATACTAATCATTTTTTTTCCCGGCTTTATTGATAAAAAAATCTTTGATCGCCGTCACGTGTCTAAATGCACTGTCACCAGATTTTGTCACATGTCGAAGTTCGCGATCTGAGATATTTACAAAAATTCTGAATTTGTCGAGTTGATAAATAAAGGTTTTGAGATACGCACACTATAACTTCAATAAGAGTAAAACTAATAGTCAACTCCTATAGCGTGTTAATTATTTTTCACTCTAATTTTTTTTTGTGGCTTAGATATATATTATTTTTTCGTGGTGCAAAAAAAAAAATGCAACTGTCACCCGAATGCCTTGACGCTGTGAAATACCGTGGTAAGATAAATTTTACTGATTTCTTTATGATGCTTTGTCGACGTAACCTATCATTTTTGACTACTTAGCCTTTTGGGAAGACACGGAAGATCCTTCGCTCAAGAAATTTTTAGATTTTCGACTTTTGGCTGGCGACTTAGAAGATAAGCAAACTGAGTACCATCGGTACAACCAAGAACTAGATACAATTGGCAAATTTTATGCCGAAGTATCTGAACCTGAACAGAAGTGATAAGGTGGAAAAATGCTTTTAAGGCAAGTAAAGTGTATTGTTTCTGACTCAGGAGCATGAGTACATCAACTACCCTGCAACCCGCGCTCTTGTAGTGGGAACGACTGCGTGTCTGTTGATGAGCTATACTCCATGAAACACCTTGAGACTCTATGTATTATTGAGTACACCAACTACCCTGCAACCTGCGCTCTTGTAGTGGGAACGACTGCGTGTCTGTTGGTGAGCTATACTCAATAGACTTAGGGATCCATGGTGCTCGCGAAAGATGAATGTACAATCTGTGTGCTTGCTTGTTCATGATGTCTCCTATCCTTGCTTGCATGGGTGGGATGGTTATCGAACAAAATCTATTAGGCAAGTTACTTAGAACTTCTGTCCTATTATCACTGTTAGAGAAGTAAACAGTCAACGGTATAAATCGTTTTTGGAAACTTCAAAATGAAAGACAAAATATTGTGGTGAAGATTGTATTGATTGAGGATAAAATCAATATGCAAGAGAACAAGGCAAAGGCGAAGGTTCGGAAGTTGCAGGTACTTCACTCATTCTCCTTATTACTTAATATTCTAGGCCAAAACATTCATTCACTCTTGATCCCATTACAATACACAGGCGGACCAACACGTAACCATTGCTACGGTAACAACGGGACAAATTCAACAATATGCTAGGTATAATTAATATAAAATTTAATCTTTAAATTATTTTTTTTTTAGTTATAATAATTTGATATTTTTAAAAAAAATTTGTAAAATCTTTTTTATTAAAAGATTTATTTTATTTTATTTTTTCTGTAATCAAACAAATATGTTGGAAGTTTATTTAATATTATTGCAAAATACATATAAGTTAAATTACTTTTATGCACAAATTCTAAATTTTATACTTGAATACTTGTTTTTGATAAAATTATCTCTAGATATGATTTTGGAGATGAATAAAATTACTTATTTTTGTTTACTTATTTAGAAGTAAATGTTGAAATCATTGACTACAGTTCATTTCTACAGTTTATTTTAACAAAATTTTGATTATATTTATATTCCTAGCTATTTTTTCCCTTTCTTAATCTTAATTCAAATACTTCTTTGAGCTTGTTTATAATTTTTCTTTTCTTATTCATATCTTATAATAAATTAACTTAATTGCACTTTTCTCTAATAAGAATAAAAGATAATAAGTGATATTTCTCAAGTATTTTCTTTTTCTTCTCTTGTAATTTGTTCATTCTTTTTTTTTTGAAGAATCCATATATTCTTACTAAATTGTTTGGATTTGTCTCTTTCTTTTTTTTTGGATTGTTGCTTTGATTGTTGTTTTTTTTTTTGAACTTTTTTATATCTGGGATTTCACAGATATTGTCTCATCAGCTTATATCATATTTTAAATATTTGAACAGTAGTTTTTTAGCTTGAATATAAAAAATCTTGATGGTTTTTAAGCTTGTTTCCTATTCTGTGACTTCTTTTTTCTTCTATAGACCTATATTTAAGTTAATTAGTTCTTTGATTAATTCAATTTTTTTTCATTGTTTTAAAAGCTAAATGATTTCTTTTTAATTTGGCATCTTGAAGCTAGAGTATTTGGAAATCTATTTTTTTATAATTTTTTCTTATAAGACTAACTATATCTCTTTTCTCTTTGTTCTTATATCTTATATATTAGTAGATGATCTAGTGTTTCTTCTAAATATATATTTTATATTTCTATTATAGCTTATGTTATTATGTTTTGTAAGATTGTCTAGAGTAGAAAACTTATTATAGATTAGTTTGATTTTGAATATCTTATTTTTCATTGTTTGAATAAAATACTTAGCATGTCTTCTCCTTTACAATGCTTCCAGAATCCTTTTCAATTGATTTTTTCTGAATTTTGAATTTTTTCCTTTTATCTAACTTAAATTTTGTTCTAATTAATCTATTGTATTAGAATTTTTTTCTTATGCAATTCTTTGATAAATAGTCTTATCAAAGTATCTATTGAAATATTATTTTAGGAAGAAGTTGAAATTGACAGAATTTTTGAAAATTAGATTCAATGGATTTCCTGCTTTTCTTTTATTGTTTTGATTTTTCAGCCAACTTGATTATTAATTGTATCTTGACTATAAGCTTTAATCTTACTTGAATTTCTTTTCTAATTATTGTATCAAATATATATAATCAAAGTTGCCAGTTGGGAATCTTTATTTTTTTATAAATTTTATTTTTTTAAATAAAAAGTTTTCAGTTTTTAATATGTACTAATACAGTTGACACTATCAATTCGAATCTTTATCTTGCTTTTATTTGATACTATTAAAATTGTTAAAAAGATTATTACAAGTTTAGCTATTGTCAATAAAAATCAATTGTCCACTTCAATTTGAAAGTTTTTTTTGAATTTGATTCCTTGATTTATAGTCAGATTGCATCTATTTTAATTAATTGATTTTGTGTTTTTTCTATTGATCTATTTGTATAGAAATTGATATATATTTTTGTATTGATTGTTCTTATTAAGCTTATACTCTTCATTTAATTCTTGACTTAAGTTAATTGTTTCAATATTTTCTTAAATAATTTGTAATTCATAATCAATTATATCTATCCCTATGAGTTTGAATATATAGGATTTTGAATTGACTATAGACTTGAACTTTGATCTAATCAAACTTTCAAATATATGAATCTTTATAAAAATATAAGGCTCTTTGTTTTTTCTTTGTTTTATAATCTTATTCACAATTGAATAAAAATATTAACTTGTTTTTATAAGAGCTTAATGGATTTGGATTAATCTAAACAAATTTTATTACTCTTGTACTTATACTTAAAACTTCAAAAAATATCAAATCAATATCAAAGTGATATCAAAATAATACTGATTTATGGTAAATTTAATATATGGGTTATGATCTATTCATATAAATTTATAATAAATCTAAGTATTAAAATGATATTGAACAGATATTAAAGTAGTACCATTAAGAATCCTACTTGTGTTAGTGGCTTGGTAAAACTCAATTTATTGTGTAACAGAATTATTCATTTCTTTGTATTTATATCAAATAAGATTGTTATTTTTTTTTGATGAACTTATTATTATCATTTTCTTGTATTCTGTTGCTGAGTTGGGAGAAAATATTTCTTTCTTGTTTATTTTCAAAAGATTTTATAATTTATAATAATAATCATTTAATATATAATTTATAATATTGTTTTTTATTTTATTTTATATTTTTTTTATTATAAACAAATATTAAATATAAGAATGTAAGACTTTATTAAAATAATTGCTTTTAATTATTAAATTAATAATTTTTACATAAACAATAAATTAATTATAATCTATTATAAGATAACATATATAAATTTTAAAAATTTTTATAGAAAAAAAAAATAATAAATAATAACTAACTAATTATTAGTTATATTATAAATTAATATATATACTTGTTAAAAAAATTAATATAAATATTTGATATGGTTGAAAGAATTAGATTTTATATATACTAGATTTAAAAATCAATTTTTTATTATAGTATAACCTATGGTTCTTTTTTTTTTTTTTTTTTTTTAATATAACTGACATATACCTTATTTATTAAATTTAATTCATAAGCTACAAATTTGTTTTATACAAATTTTTTCCTATTATCTATTTACTAAACTACTTAAGACTAATGTTTACTGGATAGCTTGTTGCCTTTCATTCATCCTATTTTACCAACACCAATGCAAGTATTAACCCTGATAAAATTGGTGAAGTGCTAATGTGCCAAGATATATGCCTTTAAGTCCTATCCATTATCTGATAAATAGAAACTTAAAAGATCATATCTGGATACAGTCAGCTGCAGTCTAGTTATATTCAATAAAAAGTTTATTGGCTTTAACTAGGTCAAAAGAAAAATTTCAAAAAGAAAACCTGCAAAAAAAGAAATTTTTTTCTTTTTTAAATTAGATTAGGAGTAAATAAGGAAAGAGAAAAAAGGAATGAAATAAAAGAAACCTGTTTCAAGGGAAGGGAGATAATCACAAATGCTGCTCTTATTAAATGGGACTAAGATCAACATCTTTTTAGAAAATTTGATTGTATATACTAAAGGAAAAACTACTAAAACCTGTCAGTATACAATTGTTATGTTTTATAAATATTTGAGATCTACCTATACTTCTTACGCCTTCTTACAAATCATTGTCTATTTGAAAAATCTCTAACTAGAATTGGCCATTTGCTTCCTGATTCTAATGGTGTGCCACCATTGTTATTTATTATGGTCAGATGAAGTTCAGTCACAAAATATTATTTCCACAAGCATAAGGGATTAATACTATGCTATAGTCAAAATTCGTAGAGAAGAAGTAGAGAATAGGAAACAAGCTTAAAAACCATCAAGATTTTTTATATTCAAGCTAAA